GCCGGGATCGGTGGCCAGCAGCCCGGGCCGGCCGTGCTGGCCCACGGTGCTGAGCCCCCGGGGCGGTGCCGGCACCCAGGAATGTGCCCCGGGATGCCGGGGAGCTGGTTCGGCAGCGTGGGGTGGTGGTGGTTTTTGCCTTCCTGGCTGTGGTTCCACAGCAGCGCCCGGAGGAGCAGGGGGCAGCAGCGGGGAGGGCTCCTCTCCGCCTGGGACGGGACCCGGAGGGGGGTCCTGCCGGGGTGCTCAGGCTGAGCACTGCGTGCCTCTGTTTCCCCATCTACGAGGAGCAAAGTGTTGGCCCCTCCTAAGCCTGTGGGCATCAGTCGGCTGGTCTGTGGGGAGGGCAGGCACCGGAGGCACCTGGGCAAGGTGCATCACTCCGGGTGATAAACCCTGTCCCTGCCTGCCGGGATGGGCTGCTGCACTTTGTCCTGTCCACACACCGCGTTTTGGGGACACTTGGGACGTCCCAGCTGTCATGCCTGTGGCTGTAGGGGTGTTGCACCCCATCCCAGCCACACGCCGTGTTTTGGGGACACTCTGGGTGTCCTGGCTCTCATCCCTTTGGCTGTCCTTGGCTGCTTGGGGTGGCTGTCCCTGTTCCTGAAGCTCAGCGGGGTGCTGGTGCTGGAGGCAGCGTGGGGGCTGGGGCTGAGCCCTCCTCCTGTGCACCACAGACCTGCTGGGGCCCGATCCTCCCAATCCGGGGCTTTGATCCGCTTTCCGTCTGCCCTGCAGTGGATAAACGGGAGCATATGGCCTCCCTGTGTGGCAGCAGACCTGGGGTCCCTCTAGCTGGAAGGGGTTTGGGGAAGCACAGGGAGGGCAAATGAGGTGTCCCAGCACCCCCGGGGTCCTGGGGGCAGCGGGAAGGGCCGAGCTATGGGGTGGCTGCCCGCAGTGTGGGTACAGAGGAGCCCCCTCCCCGCCCTGGGCACCCGGCTGCTCCTGGCCTGGGGTGCCCCCATCTCGGCCATCTGAGCAGCCTCTGGTCCTTGCTCCGTGCCCACTGCCAAGCAGCCCTCGGC